ATGCTATCAACTCAACGAGGTTAGTGGCTAAGGCCTAAACCACCAAACCTATGAGGACCATCACACTACAAGCATGCTATACAAAGCATAAATGAAACTAATAGCCTAAAACAGTCCTAAAGTAAACAAAAATAGTGCTAGAATTGAGGTACAAACAGGTAAATGAGTAAACTAAAATAATGAGGAATTTAAGCTAGTAAATAAGCCAAAGGAGGGGTGGCTAACCCCTCCAATTTTGGGACTTCATAATCACATTTTTAGCCTTTGAAAAACTTTGAAATTCAGTGGTAAATGTTGGTCATATAGGCTACTTAAACGAAACAAATAGATTGAAAATTAATCAGTTAACTTACATAACATGAACCATGATTAACCGAAATACAAATGGAATTAAAATATTGAAAACAAGGAAGCAAACCAAATTCTGTGTGATATCACAATCTCCTTAAAACAGATTAGCTGCCTCACTGTGGATGCTGGAGGAACGTCGACTTCTGTCTCCCAGGATAAGATGGCTTAAACCGGCTAACTCAGAAGCACCTTCTGTTTGCTTTGGCGAATCGATAATGTCAACACTCTCTCACACATGAAGGAAATTGTAGATACAAGCAGACTGACTATATAATTTTGGAAGGGAAAAGCTATATCTAAATCAAGGGAGATCGGTCTCCTTTTATACACCATGGGGGAGAGAGGAGGAGCCTCTAGCCATGAAGGCTATCATCTAATGCCCATGAAGACTGGCCACTACTGACCATTACTCTTGCAAAACTGCTGGAGTAATGGACCAAAATTGATGAGAGAAAATATCTGATATATATATATTTTCTGTATACACAAGTGTGTATTTCTACCACAATCAATGTGAGATTGGTAGTTATAAACAATTCCCAAAACCTCATTCATGAGGCCATCTTTATGAGATAATTTCTCATTCAATTCTCAATGATTTTTTGTCATTCGTTATGTGGTGTAAAGATCTTGTTACAAAGAATCTAAACCAATTTAATCCCACCTCAACCAATGGTTGGGACCTACTTTAATTTCACATTAAAGTTTACTAAAATCCATTTTTTCCAACAGTAAAAAGCTCAAAAAAAGTTGAGAAAAGAATGGAAAACACAAGGGCAAAAGCTTAGAAAACAAGGTTCAAAGAATGGTGGTTAACCCCTCCACCTTTGGTAGTTTAAACTACAAGTTTCAACCCATAAAAACAGTGTAAAAATAGTTCAAAATCAGCAAGAGAATATAGAAAACAAGTAGTCTAAAGATGCTCAAAATTATACCTCTTTAAGCAAAGCAACTCTTTTGTTAACAAACCCACAAGTTCTTACTGTCAAGGGCTGAAATTTGGACTCAATAATCTCAGTAAGGAGAGCTCCAATATTGGTTTAGGAAATGTTTGGGTAAGGTGTGTGTGTGTTGCAAGATAGAGATAGAGAGAGAATTTCAAGTTTTGGGGTTTTTGAAATTTTTTGTAACCTAAAACCAAGAGGGTTGGCCTTGTATATATAGAAAAATAGCCTCTTAGGTTGGAAATATCTATATAGGCATAGCTGGAGCTTTTGGGGGACAACTGGGAAAAAATATCTGCGTTTTACACAAGTGGCCGGCCACAAAAATATGCTTCCATACCTGACTTCAAATGGGTATATCTTCTTCATCTGATCTCGGTTTTAGATCATTCTTAAATCTAAATTGAAGTCCGGAAGTCTAATTTCCAATGGTGGTGGCCTCATATCTAAATTCTAAGTGTGAAAAGAGATATGCCTATTTTAATAAAGGCTGCTTATTTCTATCTTAATTGGATTGATGCCTAACTTCAAACAGTCATATCTCTCTCATCCAGACTCGGTTGTAGGAGATTCTTGAGTCTAAATTGAAGCTCCAGAAGTCCATTTTTCCATGGTGGTAGCCTCATAACTAAAGTCTAAGTGTACAAAAAGATATGCCTATTTTAGTGAAGGCTGTTTAGTTCTCTCTTAACAGTTTCATGCTCAACTATTTCCCCAACTCGTTTTCTTCCATTCCCTCCTATTTCCTTCAACTCCAAATCTCTAAATAAGATGTTTTAAAAGATTTTTCAAAGAGTTTACCTCCCTTTCATTTATTTTCATTTTGTCTTTTCTCGGTTTATCGAAAAGTGTAATATTTTAAACGAAATGCGAGTCTCGGAATATCGTAGAAACATTTGAAAAAATATTTTAAAAAAAGGAGGTTTTAAGGTTTAAAATAGTTTTGGTCAAATAGGGTATAAGGTTGGGATTTAGAAGCTTTTTTTTGTTGAAGAATCGAACATTTGTGCAGCCTAACTTTCATCATCGAGGGATCAACCTGAGGCACCCAAGTTTTAAGGGCGGTCAAAAGTAAGGTGTCTACATAATGACTAACAAAGAAATGTTTCGTTATAACTTATTGGAATATAATGGCTAATAAAGAAATTTTGGATTGAGTTTACTCTTTTTTTTCTTTTTTTTTTTCTTTTCAAGTCACGCAACTATGATTGGACATATTTTCAAAATAATTTTAAGAATCGCATTTACAAATTCAATAATAGAATACATAAACAAAGAAATTTGTATTTTTCACTATGACTGCATATATATACCTTCTTTATTTTTATGTTCAAAACAAACTCACGTTACAAGTTTACTCATGCTAACCGTCGCTCATCACTGAGTCATGCCACGCCTTTGATAACTTGACAATCTAACTAATTACTCAATTTCTAATTGGGTATAACTAAGCCATAGCAGGTACAATTGAGTCCTAGTATAACTTTGATAAGTCTGCAATCTAACTAAGTACTCAATTTGGGTATAACTATGTCATAGCAGGTACAATTGAGTCATAGTATAAGTTTGATAACTCGACAACTTTGTAAGGAATTGTAACTTTTAAACAGACAAATTTCAATTATTCAAAATTTATTATTTTAAATTTCTTATTCACTAAACACAATTAAGATAATTCATCATATACGTAGTGGATAAGAAATTTCAGTATTTTTATTATTACTTACAAAAAAATTTATTAAAAAACTAATAAATAAAATTTTTAAAATATTATAATTACAAATTAAAATGAACACATTAATATGAACTAAATTTAATAATTATGAGTTTCTTTTTATTATGACTAACCATCAGCATTTTTGTTTATTAATTATAAACAGAATTAGTTTCCTCCAATATTTCTATACAACATTTATAAAATATGTGTCAATAATACATTTGCACATATTTCTTTGATATTTTCAAAACTATTGTATGTAATATTTTTAATTCTAAAAAAAAAATAGAATATGGTAACTGATTCAACTGATAGTATAAACCAAGAAGTGAACAAACCATTTACAATGCAAATACAAAAAGTGGTGAATTTTGTAGGCAAAAGTAATGCATAAATGGATGAGCAAACACAACTCATCATTCATGATTATTTGCATTGGGTAGTTGAGATAATCCACTCATTGAATACTCACGTTATGTTTCGGTCCTACACAACTTTTTTCAGTACAGAAATTTTTTGCACAGAATGCATAAATTTTTTTTGTGTAAATAGTATTTCTCTTTCAAATCAGGGTGATTGGCTTAGTGGGTGACGATTGAGGTCTGGAGATTTGCTCCCTCTTAGGTTTTAGGTTTGAATCCCTTAGTCAGCAAACGCATACCTTGGGCTACGGACCGCAAGGTGTAAGCCTTGTTTCGGAAGATTTGTTCGGGCTGTAGGGGGCCACGGACCACAGGGCATAAGTACTGTTTCAGAAGACTTGTTCGGACTATAAGAATAGTCTAGTGTGCATAAATTGGCCCAGGATACTTTTTACATAAAAAATTAAAATATATATATAAATATATATATTTCTCTTTCAATAAACAAAATCATTGTCAATAAAAGTATATTTACCCGGGCACCATTACTATCATCATCAGTCACGGTTAAGACTTTCATCATTAAAACTAAGATAAATTACAAATACATTTCATGACGTTTGTTTTAAAAAATTACAAATATATTCTTATTAGTATTTTTTATTTAACAAAATTAATTGAAAAAATTAAATTCTTTTGCTCTCTTATATATTATAAAGTCACCTAAATTTTTAATTGAAATAAATTTAAGACGTTATTAAAAACTGTTAATTGATTTGATAATTTATTAATAAAAGAGATCATATATTATGAAATTAAAACTTCAAGAGACAAAATATAATTTTCAAAATTATTAAAGGTAAATCATATTTTAAACAAATTAAAAAAATGTATTTATAATTCATAAAGACGAGCTTTCATGTTAGTTGCACTAGGGTGACTACAAAAAGTTAATGCAATGACAATTCACGTTTTGAAACATGTTGGCACATTTATTTTTAGTGATTTAAAGGTTTGAAAAAATAATGAAAATCTAAGGAGTATAGAGTTTTGGCAGGACACAATGTAAAAAATAATAATAAAAAAAAAGAAAAAAAAAAGGTCATAATGATTTTAGAAATGTGTTTTTATATGATTAATTTAAAATATTTTTTTTATTAAATCTGGTATAATAAAATTTCTCCATGTACTGATGAAACGATTAAAAAAATAAAAAAAAAATCAATTCAATTCAATTAGAATACATGTAAAAATGTTAATCCAAATAGGGTAAATTAAATTTAATCTTCAGTAAAAATGAAAAAACAGAAAAATTAAGTAAAAAAAAAAAAAAAAACTCAATATTATAATCTAAATACTAATATACTCATTGTTATTTTTCTCAAAAATATTTATTGTATGTCTAAAAAATTTAAAGTTTGAATTCATAAAGAAATATCAAACTTCTGTATCAACCTAACATTAAAAATGAAAAATAAAAAATAAAAATTGTATTCAAATGATTTATATATATATATAAATATTGTTTAAAGGGAATGAAAAGGTGTCGGTTGAATATACGGGTAAGAGAGGACCACGGAAGTTGACCCTCCAATTCATGAATGGTTAAATAAAATAAACAATGGAGGGCACGAGTTGAAATTGGTTCCTTCTTCAATCCTTCTGTTGAGCTTCACTGAAGGTCCAGTACACCCCAAAATCCTTTTTATTTAATCATTACTTTTACTTGTTTTCTTTTTAACTTTATCATCACACTCACGCCCACCTTCTTTGATTCTTCAATCCATGAGTATAAATAAGCAAGAAACAGAGTGATGCACTTGAAATATTCATTTGGAGCTTGTTTCAGAGAGATTCATAGAGAGAGAGAGAGAGAGAGAGAGGTTCTGAACACCTTGGTTTTGGATTTGAAGGTGAGGAAACATTGATTTATACCCTTTTTATTAAAAAATTATTATATTGCTTTTTATGGGTTTTTGATTGAGTTCTTTTAGTTCTTTGTTCTTGATGGGGTTGTTGAATGATAAATGCTATCTAATGTTTGGTTCTAGGTCTAGAATGAACTTTTTGCTGTTGTTCTGTTGGGTTATTAAATTTGATTAATCGTTGAACTTCCCTTTTAAAAAAATAAAAATTTCCCTTAAAATGATTACCCATGACCTTTCCAAGTTTTGGGTTTTGTTTTTTCTTTGCATATGTAATTTAATAAAAGGGTTTCTCCTTGATTCTTTGCTTCTTCTCTTAATGAAAAAGGGGTGAATTTGTTTTCAAAAACATACCGGCTAGCTTTTTATGTCAAAATACTTGTTTTGTGTTTGCAGTTTTGATAACCCAATTTTCATATGTGGCTATTATTGCAACAAATCTGATTACTCATAGTTTTTGTTATTTTAGCTTTCAACCCATATAATTGCCCTGAACTGAGAAATGTTTAGAATTTATACCAAAATTAATCCTTAAATGTTGTTGAACAGGTTTTGATTACTCTCAATCACACCCTTAAGTCTGTTGCTGCTTTTAAATCAACGTGTCTCTCTCTTTCCTTTCTCTCATCTGGGTGGAAGAAATCATGAGACATAAGTTTTTTAATTGTCCTGATACCACTGCGACTGTTTTGGTGAGGTCAATAAGCTTTAAAAGAGATGATGGTGGATTGGCCTTTAGATTTCTGAAAGAGAATTCAGAAACCATGGACAAGTCTGAGGGATTAGATCAAAACCCACTATCCGAAAAACCAACGCTTAGAATTCCACTCAATAATTTAGTTCTTGACAAAGAGAATGTGGATTCAATGCCTTTAGAGGACAAAGATTGTGACTCAAAATATAAATCGAAGCCAACAATTTCAATTCCTAAGGCAGTGATACTGTTTTCGCCAAGACCTATTAATGAGCTTGATGCTGCTGCGACCAAGGTTCAGAAAGTCTACAAGAGTTACCGGACCAGAAGGAACCTTGCCGATTGTGCAGTTGTGGTCGAAGAACTCTGGTTCGTCTCTTCATCATAATCTACAGTTTTGTAGAGTTGTTATTAGTTATTTCATTGTTTTGATTTGTTTTCTTCCTAATTTTCTTAATATAAAAATTGTTTTAGGTGGAAGGCCTTAGATTTCGCTGCTCTTAAACAGAGCTCGGTATCATTCTTCAATGTTACGAAACATGAAACTGCTGCATCACGGTGGGCACGTGCAAGGACTAGAGCTGCCAAGGTTTGTTTTAGTACATTACAACTTACCAAATGTTGTTTAGAGAGTTTTGGCATTAACAAATGCTGATTCTTTTGTGTTTTGCAGGTAGGGAAGGGTTTATCCAAGGATGAAAAGGCTCAAAAACTAGCTCTCCAACATTGGCTCGAAGCAGTAAGCCCACGTACTTGTTATCAAATTACCTGATTGTGTATCATTATCTCCAATAATATGATTTTCTTATGATTATGTGTAGATTCCAATCCAAAAATGGGTAAGATTTTGGAGTTTGTATCCTCGACACCGTAGACCAATAGTGACCTCTAATTGGTATCACTATTAAGCTTAGGGTAGTGGATCACAACTCTAATTCATATTTTCATGATCTTCCAACAAGTATAGCAGCATATTTTTCTCATGCACTTCTTGTCAAATAAATCTGGGTGAAGAACTATATTTGACCTTTGTTTTCAGCTAAAATTGGGCAACCTTTACAACAAGAAGTTTAGATCAAGTCAAGCCTTAAGAAGTTTCCTTTTTTTGTTTTTGATGATTCTTAAGAGGCTTCTATACTCCTCAGTTGTTGGATAGGTTTAGATTACAGCTTCAAATTGTTGGTATTGGAAGGCGTATAATGACTTATCTTGTTAATTGTTCTTTCTTTATTTTCCAGATTGATCCACGCCATAGGTATGGGCACAATTTGCATTTCTACTATGATGTATGGACTGATAGCAAGAGCACCCAACCATTCTTCTATTGGTAAGTATGCCCTTCTCTTACAATTGTATACAAGTGAACCCCGCTTTTTATGCTGTTTTTTATCTTTCCTTTTCTTTTCTGTAAATGCAGGCTCGATGTTGGAGATGGTAAAGATCTAAATCTTGAACGTTGCCAAAGAATAGATCTACATCGTCAATGCATTAAATATCTCGGACCTGTAAGTTTTATTATCTGTGCAAATTAGATGAGTGCATATAGAGATGTGCTATTTATTTACTTTTTTTCTGACATCGATTTTTTTTTTGTCTCCCAGAAAGAAAGAGAAGCATATGAAGTGATTGTGGAGAGTGGAAAGCTAGTATACAAGCAACATGAAATGCTGTTAAACACAGATGAGCATTCCAAGTGGATCTTCGTTCTGAGCACAGCAAGGGTTTTGTATGTGGGACAGAAAAAGAAGGGTGTTTTTCAGCACTCTAGTTTTCTGTCCGGAGGAGCTACAACTGCAGCTGGTAGATTGGTTGCCCGTGATGGGATTCTTGAGGTATACAGGACACATAAATACATGAATTCATGTACACACACATATGATATACTTGTGCGTCCATTTGAGCTGCTTGATCTAATTTGTTCTTGTTACTTCAGGCAATATGGCCATACAGCGGTCACTATCTTCCAACTGAAGACAATTTCAAGGAATTCATTAGTTTCCTTGAGGAGCACTGCGTAGACTTGACCAATGTTAAGGTAATCTCTCTGCCTACTCAACATAAAATTCTGTTTATATAAATGCATTTCTTGATAGTTAAACTAAAGTTTCATCAAACCCTCTTATTTAACTAACCACATCACCAATTATCTGATATTAGTATTACTTGGGACAACGGTAGCTGATGTTTCACCATTTTCTCTGCAGAGATATGAAATAGATGATGACAGAACCTCGTTTAAAGATACCTACGAGGACTCTAAGCCAGAGTTGGTAGAGGGTCTGTCCACAACCACAATTTTAACAGATTTGGCTGCTGCCAATGGCGACGGACCAACCAATGATATATCGAACACTTCTTCTAATCAAGAAGACGGTAAAGCCACCAATGTAGGCAATGCAGAAGCACCCATTTACAACTTGGCCAAGCATTTATCGTGCAAGTGGACTAGCGGAGTTGGGCCCCGCATTGGGTGTGTCAGGGACTACCCAACAGATCTACAATCCCTGGCACTTGAGAAAGTCAACCTATCACCTAGGGTTACACCTGGCCGTTCCTGGAGTAGTATTCCGATCCCTTCACCTCGACCTAGCCGGAAGATGCGGCTCTCACCTAGGCTGGCATATATGGGACTCCCAAGCCCAAGGGTCTCTTCTTCTTCAACTGGTAATTAGACTCTTCTAATTTCTCACTTATCGTTGAAATGGCGTTGACTTTAGTTTTGGTTCACAACCTTCAGCTAATGTGCATTTCTTGTGCCGTTAGTGAAATTTTTGATATGGTTTTAATGTAATGTGAGGGATTAGCCTAAAATGCTTTGTTCTTTGATTCTTTTTGTAAATGCAACGTTGTCTTTCTTGCAGTTTTCTTAATCACTCTCTACTCAGGGATTGTCTAATTCCAATTTCCAAGTTGTAAATATACTGTTTAACTGTTCAAATAAAGAGATCTTTTGTCGATTCTATTGTTCCTTCACTTTCTTTTTAGCATCTTTATCTTGTACAGTTATTTATTTATGTATCAACAATGAAACACATAATGTATTTTCCACCCAAAAAAGAGGAAAATGAAAATATCAGATGTACCCGGTTATGAGGAGAACTAGTGTGTAACAAAAGCACTCTTTTTATGTATAATTTAATGGGAAAAACAGAAAAGTCACAAGAATGCCTTCAAAATATGTTAATCTTGAAAAAAACAGCCATGTCTTAGTTCAATTGAAAAGTATTAGAAGGTGCAATGCATATATACCAAAGTTTTTTTTTTTTTTTTGATGCCGAGAACACCCCAAAGGTAAGATCTTTAGAATGCACCCTTACAAGCCAAACTGGGAGAAACTAGCCAATTCACCTAAACCATCGGACTTCCGCCTGAGTAGTAGGGGATTCAAACCTGAAGAGAGGAGCAAACTCCACCGACTAAGATGACCCCTTGGTGGTATATACCAGAGTTTTTGTGGAAGAGAATGTTAGCTCTAGCCCACACTTCACAAGCTGAGGAGCCTACTATCCACATGGTGAGGGTGGCACCATGTGCTAAAGGAAGATGGTGGATAGCTAAAGGAATATGGTGGGGACAGCACAACCAAACCTACTCAGTGTTGTTTCTTAACCACTCCTCCTCTTTCGTGTATAAATTGAGATGAGTGAGGAAGGGTTGATGAGTGAATGCAGTGAGCACAATGAGAATACATAGAGTGAGAGAGAAAAATACAGAGAGTGTAATCTGTGAGTGAGAGTGCTATAGAGAGAATTGTGAGATGTGAGTAATGTAATCTCCCTCCGGGATAATGGGTATCTCTTCCGTGGACGTAGGCAATTACCGAACCACGTAAATCTCTTGTGTTATTGTGTGTGATTGTTTTCTGGTGTCTTATAGTCCTAACAAGTGGCATCAGAGTCTCGTCGGTCGCATTTCGGAATACAAACAAAGTGTTTTTTCGAAATTACCCAGAAATCAAGTTGCTCAAAATTCACTTTTGAGCATACCAGGAGCAAGGTCTCCACGAGAGGAGTCCAGAACTGCAAAGAAGAGACCCAGAAGAGCTTGCACGCGCTCTCACGCGCTCCCTGAAGTCGGCGCGTGAATCATACGCTCTGCACGCGCCCCACACGTCGTGAAGAGAAACCGACGCGTGATCTCACTCTCACCCACGCGCCCCACGCACTACTTAAGGAGGAAGACAAGTGTGTTGCGGGTGTTGTGACGTCACACGCCACGTCACTGTCTGACACGTGACTACCACGATATCGCCACGACACTACCATATAGATTCCACGTCAGCAAGCCTGGGTCACGTGGCTGCCATGTCATCAAGCCTAGTGCCACGTGGCTGACCACATCATTACCCTATTGACCAGTCAACCCAGAGGCTGAGAGTTATCCGCTGCTGCGCGGCTAAGGTACACCTGCAGATCTGAATTGTCCAAACTGTTTTAGCTTGATCTGAGCCATTCTAAGTCTGTTTTTGACGATCTAATAGTGCTTTCCAACTATTTGGAGTATTTTGAAGACATCCGTACGGTCAGATTTGTGAATCAAAGTTTCTGTAAAAAGAAAGAATACGATGGAGGAATCCACATCAACTTCAGGATCTATGTTCAAGTTAACTCCTTCCAATTATACAATTTGAAAGTCACGGATGGAAGACATCATGTTTTATAAAGACCTATTTGACCCTATTTTTGTAAAAAGGGTTAAACCTGAAGAAGTGAAAGACGATGACTAGATAAAGATGTACCGCAAGACTATCGATTGTATCAGACAATGGATAAACCACGGTGTGTACCATCATGTCGTCGAGGAGACAGATGCCTATTCTCTATGAACAATGTTAGACGACATGTACCAGCCAAAGACCGCTCGGAACAAAGCCTTGGTGATGAGAAGGCTTGTCAATTTGAAGTTGAAGAATGGTATGTCTGTCGCTGAACACACCAGTGAATTCAAAAATCTGGTGAATCAGCTTGCAACCGTTAAGATGCGCTTAGACGATGAAATGCAAACCGTACTACTGCTCAGTTCTTTACCGAACAGCTAGGAGACGTTGGTGGTCTCTTTCAGCAACTCTGCACCAGAATGGAAGCTGACCATGAACATGGTCACAGACGCCATGTATAATGAAAAGACAAGAAGGAAAGACATGGGAGGTAATCAATCCCATGCTCTTGTCACAGAAGATAGAGGTAGAAAAAGAGGTAAATGAAGAGGTAGAGAAAGAAGCAAGAGTAGAGGCAGTTGGAACAACGGGAGTAAATCCAGAGACAATAAAGGTTGAGGTAACTTCAGCTTCACTTGCTTTCACTATGGCCAAGTGGGTCACATAAAGAGAAACTACCCAAGCCAAAAAGATAAAGGCCAAAGCAGTAAGTCAAAGGGAGATGAGAACACGACAGCCACAACAACTGATGAAATACTTCTTGCAGTTGGTGAAGAGGAGGATTGTCTTCACGTGGCTGACCACAACTACACAGAATGGGTGATAGACACAACTGCATCCTATTACGCCACTTCCCACAAAGAACTCTTCAGCTCGTACAACGCTGGAGATTTTGGCACTGTTCGAATAGGGAATTCTAGCTATTCGAAGATTGTGGGTATTAGAGACATTAGTATTCAGACTAATGTCGGGCATAAGCTAATTCTCAAAGATGTGAGGTGTGTTCCAGATTTGTGCCTCAATCTTATCTCCGGAAGCTCCCTGGACCGACAAGGCTATATAAGTACATTCGGAAATGGCCGTTGGAAGTTGATAGGAGGAGCTTTGACAATCACCAGAGGAGAGATGTCTTCAACACATTATAAGACTCCAACAAAGATCTGTCTGGAAAGTCTTAATGCAGCAGAAGACGAGGAGTTACCAGACTTATGGCACAGAAGACTGGCTCACATAAGTGAGAAGGGATTGCATCTGTTGGCAAAGCAATCTAGAATACCCTTATCCAAAGGGAGTGCCCTGAAGCCGTGTGATCATTGTCTTTATGGAAAACAACATCGAGTATCATTCAATTCAACGAGCAAGAGGAAAACAGAAGTGCTCAGTATGCTATACTCGGATGTTTGTGGCGCAATTGAAGTGGAGTCACTTAGTGGCCGCAAGTATTTTCTGACTTTCATTGATAATGTATCAAGGAAGTTATGGGTGTATTTCCTGAAGACAAAAGATGAGGTATTTCAGCACTTTCAGGAGTTCCATGCAGTGGTTGAAAGAGAGACCGGGAAGAAGTTGAAGTGTCTTCGCACAGACAATGGAGACGAGTACATTTCCAATGCTTTTGCAGCATATTGTGCTAGCAGAGTTATCCAGCACGAGACAATAGTTCTCGGCACCCCACAACACAATGGTGTGGCAGAGAGGATGAACCGCACTATTATTGAAAGAGTCAGATGCATGCTTAGAATGGCAAAGTTGCCAAAGTCATTCTGGGTTGAAGCCGCCCGTACAACTTGTTATCTCATCAACAGGTCGCCTTCAGTCTTGTTGAATTTTGCTATACCTGAGGAAGTTTGGTCCAAAAGAAAGGTATCATATTCTCACTTGAAAGTCTTCGGGTGTAAGGCCTTTACATACATCTTCAAGAAAAACTAACAGAAGCTTGATGACAAGTCCACTCCATAGATATTTGTGGGATATTCAGATGCAACATTTGCGTACAAGTTGTGGGACCCAGTGAACAAGAAGATGTTCAGGAGCAGAGATGTAGTATTCCAAGAAGACCAGACAGTAGTAGATTTTGAGAAGTCTGCAAAGTCTAAAGATGTCATCACTCCAAACTTGTTTTATCTCCCGAGCCATCACAAAATGCTAGATGTGATGATGTGCAACAAGAAGTGCCAGAGTTGCAGGATCCTATGCCAGAAATTGAGGATCAAGAGGAAAGAGATGAAGACCTGGATAAAGAAGGTGTTGAGTAGGGGGAGCAACCCCCTCAACCAGAGGCAACTAGGCCTCAGTTGTGGAGATCTGGAAGAGCTGTCGTGCCATCAACCAAATATCTCGCTTCTCAGTATATTCCGATTATTGATGAAGGGGAGGCCGAGAGTTTTTCGGAAGCCAAGAATCATACAGAGAAAGACTGTTGGATGCAAGCCATGAAGAAGGAGATGAGTTTTTTTACAGAAGAACCACACTTATGAGCTTGTTTCACTTCCAAGAGACATGAGAACCTTGAAGAGAAAATGGGTGTATGAGTTGAAGAAAGATGGCAACAGTAAAATACTGCAGCATAAAGCTCGCTTGGTGGTCAAAGGTTTTGGGCAGAAAAAGGAAATTGACTTTGATGAGATCTTTTCCCCAGTTGTGAAGATGACTTCCATTCGAGTAGCTCTGGGATTAGCAGCTTGCTTGAATTTGGAGGTAGAACAGATGGATGTCAAAACTGCATTTCTCTATGGTAATTTGGAGGAAGAGATCTATATGGAGCAACCAAAAGGATTTGAAGTTAAAGGAAAACAGAATCTAGTCTGCAAACTGAAGAAGAGTCTCTACGGCCTGAAGCAGGCGCCGAGACAATGGTACAAGAAGTTTGATTCATTTATGGTAGATCACGAGTACAGAAGAACGGTAGCAGACTAGTGTGTATATTTTCAAAGGTTTTCAGATGGAAATTTCATCATCCTACTGTTGTATGTCAATGATATGCTGATCATCAGACATGATATTGCTATGATCAACAAGTTGAAAAAGGACTTGTCACAGTATTTTGACATGAAGAATTTAGGCCCAGCACAACAGATTTTGGATATGAAGATTGTTCGTGACAGGAAAGCCAAGAAGATATGGCTGTCACAGGAGAAATATGTTAAGCGATTGAAAGGTTCAACATGAAAGATGCCAAACCAGTCAGCACACCACTAGCCAACCATTTCAAGGTGACAAAGCGTTCTTGTTTCACGACCAGCTCTAAAAGGAAAGATATGGAGGCAATCCCTTATTCTTCTGCAGTAGGGAGTTTGATGT